ATTTTCTAAAGTTGCGAGACCAGTTTCCATTATAATAATATTTATGGGCGTCGTCCGAACTATACTATTTGAACTCTCCTGTTTCCTCAAATGAGATAAACGCACTCTGCTTTAAATATTGATTAACATTATTCTCAATTATTTAATAACATTAGTTAAAACTATTTTACTTAAATTAAAAATAAATTATATTTATTGTTTTAGAACTCAATCCTAAAAAAATATATCGGACAACTTTTGTTTTTCATATTGATTTCAAAAAAAATTTGTTCACGACTTCAGCTATTTTGTTATTGTCCGAAATTTTTCAATTCTAAGAACGTTTGACCGTTGTTGTGCAAATGAAAAAAATAATCCGCAAAGCACAGTGAATGTTGTTGCTTCCACAAATAAACATTGCAGACAAAACGCAAATATACAAACTGCTTTTTGGTATACGGCACATTCTGTCGTTTATATTTATATATACAATCACAAAAAATATATATTTTTGCTTATAAATACAAAGAAAATATTCAGGATTGTCAAGCATATATTCCGCGTACCGAGCGGCACACTGGTTGCGGAAATGTTATATACTAGTAACCATCGGGTAGGGAAACTAACATTTTTCCATATATTTCAAAGTTAATAGTACTTTCCACAAGCGAATAAATTACAAAAGAAAAATTACCTAAATTCCCACTCTATTGCTGCTGTGTACCATGTTTCTGAGATTGTTATTGGGTAAGAACATATAAATACGACGCGAAATAATTATTCGTTTTTAATTGTTTTCTAGATACTGCAATCGATCAGGTAGTACGCAGTTATTAATAATGTTATTTTTTAAATTATATACTAAAGGAAGGATGTAAAGGAAATAAATATTTGACCGTTTATTTTGTAATCAAGTGTATAAAACTATTTTAAAACAAGTAATTCAAAATAAGGAGTCATGATGACAAATTAAAAACTTGTGAAGATTTTAACAAATATTAAAAAGTATTTGATTTGAATCATAAGTTTCTAGTAATTTATTTTGAATTATTTATTAAATTGAATTTATTAAAAGCACTGTCTAATAACTATATATCAGCTAAGTGTGGATATGTACAAACTCATTAATGATATTTACGATTATCGAATAGCTAGTATCGGAGCAACTGTTTATGTAGATACAATTTTCTTTTGAAATAAAGCAGCACTTGAAACATAGACGAAAGCAACTTCGTGTTTGTTTGTAAGATATATTTTATATAACATACAAGGTTTCTAAAAATACGAAGAATATATTCAAATTATATATTTCGTTGCTATGTTTCATGGCTTTGGTGAATACCATTTTGTTATTAGTTGTCTATGCTATTAATCTTTACTTTTTGTCAATTTTATTCCTCAGCATGTCCTAACTATTCAAGACTTCATTCCTGTTAGAAATATCCATTATTAGGAAAATAGGTTATATCGCTATTATTCACAGAAATTGTGCATTAAGCATTGTACTGAAAACCAACTGTTCTTTAGTTACGTTCTTCTTGCCTGTCTTTGATAATCTGTAATAAAGCGTCACCAACAAGTCCTCTGCCCTTTTTTGAAGTCGAATCGGAACAAGTTTCCATCGTATCAAATGGCAAAGTACGTTTTCCTTTGCTTATAATCGCGTTCAACTTCTCCAAGTCCTGATATAGAAAACATTAATATTTACCAGAGGAAATATATTTCGTTAATCACCTTTCCGGGACTGCGGCAAAACTCATAGGTCAGCTGATTTGGGGATTGAATATATTTTTCATTTTCATTTTTGTCCATGGAATGCACGTACAAGAAGTGATTACTTGACAATTGACGAGGTATAGATGGCTTCTCACTCGGGTGGGGTGACAGCAATAAATCACAATCCTAAACGAACATATCAAGGAAAAATTTTTGTAGGCTATCACGGTAATTAACTTACCAGTTTTTGTTTTTCACTAAAATTCCAAGCATAAGGGGTCATTTCCTGCATATAAATCTCATTATAAAATTTAATAATATCACCATAGACAGCAGTAACTTCTGGAAAAAAAGAACATTTTAACAAAATTTAACGTATTATGAACCTACATTAAAAACACATATGTAAATGTATTGCATTGTTATCTCATGTCTTATCAAAACGGACATTTTTATTTCAAACCGAATTAGGTATTATATTCGGGTGTGACCGAATCTTTTGTACTCATCACCTTCAATCTAATTTATCTCTTGAGTGAGCGTGGCTGATTTTTCCATTTTTGAATATACGTGAAATTTTTATGGTGTATCTATTGTAGTTTGAGTAATGGGCAAAAAATCCAGAAAGCGTATACTTTACTGTTTTATTTACACTGTGGTGCGTCTATTGACCGATTTCACCCATTTTTCGATCTGTATGTGAGTATAAAGTGAAATTTCCAATGTTTCTACCGAAGGTGAAGTCGATAGCTTCATTTTTGCAGACAGAAGAAGGGTTATTGCACATATTACATACGTCTATGGACAGACAAATATATTTAAACCTATTCAGAAATTAATGCTGACTAGGAACATAAGTACTCTGCGGGGTCTGTAAAGCATTGATATGGATGTTGCAAAGGTTTCGGCAAAACGATCATGATGAAAACAAAAAAAATGTAAAAACGCCATTTCAAAGTAAGGTATTACATACGAAGTGGTTGAAGAAGTGGTCCGGCCCGAACCATTTTTAATCAAAATGTCTAAAAAATTACCCCCTATACGTAGAACGCAAGAAACCAAGACGGGCGGACAAGCTTCGATCTGTATAATGAAAGTTGAGTCTATATCAATTCCTTCTGTATTGATACTCGCAATTCGATATTAAGCTATTCCAAATTATCCAACACAAAGTTTATTGTTGTCACCAAAAACATAAAGTCGTTGGTTCCAGTAGTTAATCTAGAGACATCGCATTTGGATGGATTACAATATAAGATCTAAAAAAAACAATGATGACATTTGAGGAAAGTATTGACAAGATGGATCTGCTACATTCGTTAAGTTCTTCACCACTTTTGGACTTTTTAAAGTGGTAGGGCACCGTTGACCAGAATTGTAGCAACTTACTGCGACTTTATCAACTGCATCTGAATAAAACAATAATTACAAAATCTTTTTGATCAGTTGGATGTAAAGATGTGAAGAAAAAGTAATTATTTGGATACGAAGTTTCGAAAAATCATATTTTTATACAGTGATTCAAAAATCGATCGTATACACCATTAATGCCATTGTCTAATGTCTTTGAAACCATACTTTTGTAATATTTAACCCTGCATTCTAGAGAATAACTCTATGAAAAGTATTTATCGCCTCTTTTATTTATACATCGTATTTTGAAATTATTATTTCCGAATTCAAAGCAAGTAATTTATTAAGGAAAAACTTTAAACTAACATCAATTAATCTAAATTAAAATCTTTTCACAGATGTAATTCATAATTTTTTTTCTCTGGTAACTGTCGATTAATCCTGGATTGATTTTGTCAATTTACCTTGTGTCCCGAGAACAAATTGAATGAATGATTCTTATCGAAAAGGAATTAGAAAGAGTTGGAATGAAATTCCAAGAAAAGATTATGTTCAAAAATAGCTTTAAAATTTCTATAAGATGTACTAAAATCGCTAATGTGCCCCATTTCAATTTTGGGGTTAATTCCCTTGTTTTCCTGAAAATAATATAGTGTTGCTAAGCATTAGCAAACCCTACCAAGAAGAAGTTGACAAGATTCTCTACTTAGAGGAAAGTTTGCGACAGTCAGGGGCAAGACGTAGAGACACTAGACAATATGTATTTTTGACTAGTATCATGTTTTAAATCGACATATATATTTTTGTTCGTCCCTCTTCAAGTTTGACGAAAATATTGAAAGTTCTTACACACAGGTTAATATTGAAAATGGTCGAATCGATCGAAGTACACATCTATACTACAAAATAAACTAAAAAGCTCTTCTTAAAATTCAAAGAATTGAAGTAGATTAAAAATTTCCACACACATTATATAGGAAGTACGGTTTCACCTGTACAAAAATGCAAATGTCCTCCCCGACCAGTCAATATTTTAGAGGATCGAACATTTGTTTTTTTAGTTTCTTCGGATGATAAAGGTGATGAATGTAAAACTTATTCTGAACATACAAGTACAACTATTTTAGTCGGGCAAAGACTTCTATTAAATACCCTAATACTGCTTCATCTAGTGTAACTTGTCGGGAATTCAACAGATTGTTAAAATTTAGCAAAATTAATTTTTTTCATTTAAGATTGGTCGTCTAAGATAATTCTTTACCTACTTTCGTCATAAAGTACGAAAAATTGGACTTCGTTGTAATACAAAGGTTTGCTTTTAATGAGAATGTGTACCATAAGTTGAAATCCAGGAAAAAAAGGTTACGTGGTTAATGTTTGCTACCGTTAATTTTTATGTCAAATTACTCTTACAAATCAAATTTCCTGATAAAAAATTTTCAAATTTAACAAAAAAGCAGACGTGATCCGTGGAGGGCTCAATTAAAATGTGAAAAATGTGTTTTTAGTAGAAATAAGTATTTTTATAGTCTATACCACTTGCGGTGCAGGGTATATTAAGTTATGCGGTCATATGTAACACGAGGAACGTCTTAAGATAGACCCAACTTTTATTACACCGACTGATTCAGAATCAAAATCTGAATTGATTTAAGCTGTCTGTCCGTCTGTTCATCTGTTGTCCGTTCATGTATTTTTGTATTCAAGCTACAGGTCGCAATTTTTAAGATATTTTGGTGAAATTTTGTACAGTGAAGTGTTTTGACCTAAGGACGAACGATATGGCAAATGATTTGGATCGGTTCCCTTTTTCGACCAGTTCCCATATAACGCTCTATTTTGAAAAGTCATTATATGGAAAAAATTGCAATTTTCACCATTTTTCGGCAAAAGCTGCTAAATATTATTATTTCAGCATTCTAATTTGGTATGAAAACTTTGGACTGGCTGGGGCAATTCATCTCTCATATAACGAAAACTGCAGTTCATACGACAAAAAGGTATAATTTTTAATGCTTTATGCCGAAAATTATAACATAATAGTAATTTAATATAAAAAAGTTAACGGTAGCAAATTTGGACTATTTTGGGTTATTTTTTTGAATACTACTCTAAAAAGGATTTTCACGAAAAGGGATTCTTTGTAGAGTAGAAAAGTTCTAGTTTTAATATGTTGTGACCAAAATTGACCCATAATAGTAATTTTATACAAAAATAATCTCTACAAAATTTGGATGATCTACGCATATTTTTGAATGCTGCCTGCCGTAAGGATTAACCTTGTACTACATTAGGTTGCGTTTTGAGGCAGTTGTCCCTTAAAGACGCAAACGGAAAATATGCTTATATATAGAAAGAAGACAGAATTTTTGTGCTCTATATTTTGTGTTAGACAATATGGTGTAGGGTATTTAATGGTTGGCGTTGTCAGACTATAATGTTCTTACTTGTTTTATTTAATTAATTAAGTTTTATTTGGTGGATTCATTAAAACTTACTTATTTCCCCGATGGCATTTGCAAATTCTTTAGTTTTTATGAGCACCTCTCTGTATATGCTACTAGCAGCTTGTGGCTGTTTTCTGTAAAATTTCATAATATCTCTAAACAGCTTTCCACTAACTTCTCCAACCTATACATATCAAATTATTAATTATACAATTCATGTTAAGGGCACAAAATACTAGCTTACCTTTATGTATAAATATATTGCACACATGAATATTTGATCAAGATGCCGATCCCTCATGAGTTCAGTTTTCTGTGTTATCGAATACTCGAATAGCGTCCAAATTTTCTTTAATACTACTTCATCGTGCAGATCTAATTCTCTACACAGCTCTTTAATACGGAGCCAGGCTAGCTGGTAAAACTACACAAAAATTTGAAGTTGGTAAAAAATTTGAAGTTGGTACTGTCCCACTCTCTCAAATGTATGTATTACATAAGTTATGCCATCAAAAATCTTCTTACCTTTCTCAGAAAAAGTTTCAGAGGTCGCGATCGTTTGTTGATTTGCGCTTTATTGACTTGTTTGAGGCTGTCTTGATTGCGATTTTCTGCTCCAAGGGTCTCTGTGAAAGACAATTTCTTAGCTAGAAGTTATATGCAGATACATATATACACTCAAATATATAGGCATAAAGGCATCCCTTGTAGAACACGGTACTTGTGAAACATTGTTTCGATATAATACGGTACATAATTCGCGAATATGATAACACGGTATTGACGTAACACGATTTCCAAACATTGAATATGTGTTTTGTTGCATTTGTTTGAATTTCTTTTTGCTTTTATTTTGATTTTATCATTAATAAGAGAACTTTCAGTTGAGAAAAAAGGAAATAGATTAGCTTTAGTTTTGAGTGAAAATTAATCTTCCGATCGTCATTATTATTTTTTAAACATATTTTTAATTTTTGTATTGCATTATAATGTTGAATTTTATATTTTCTTTATAGAAGTTTGAGGTTAAGGTATTTATTCGTTTATGCATGTACACACTGTCTTGATTTATATTATTCCAAAGTTTCGTATAACACGATTTCGTTATAATATAGAACAAGATTCAATATAACACGGTACACATTGCTTTGGTTTATATTATATCTAAATTTAAATTATATTATTCTATGTTACACCTTAGTTTGAATAAATAAACAAAATAGTTCCGTAAAACACGGTTTAGATACCTCGTTTTACAAGGGGCGCCTGTATATAAATCGTACCTTTTGAAATGTTAAAGAGATTTTTTCGTACGGAATCACTAACATTGGCTATGGAGCTGCTATTAAAAGTCTCATACGCCGAATGCATTGGCGACTGCACTATAATTTTTGATAGTAGAAAAGTTTGAAAGGCTTATTAATCTTAAAGAGATATCCATAAAATTTTGCATGTATAAGAAGGGACACTACCGAACCAAAATGATTGAGTCACGGAGAAACTTATTAACGTTATCTCGTACTTGTCCTTTTGATTAAAAGCCGTCCAAAGCCAGATATCCCACCTTATGCACACAAAAATAAGCACGTAAGCACTTACATTGTAATTCATTGTTATCGACGTGTCCTACTTTTACTTCGCACCAAGTAGGCAATGTTGCATGTTCCTTTTTTATCAGTTCCCACACCGGAGAACATTTTTGCCATACCAACGATTCTAGGCAAGTTTCTTCAATTAGATTTAGATGTTTTATTAATTCTCTATTAAGTATCCCTTCGTGACTGCGCACTATTATTTCGATGAGTTTATGGAACTCAAAGGCGCTTATACTGAAACACTCCAAAATCCACGGGAATTTCAAAGGGGAATCATACGCGTCAAGTACAATCTCAATACTGCAGGCAATTAAGGTCGTATTAAATGTGTCCTTTTGAAACAAACTACTGAGATCGATCGGTCTAATTTTAACTTCAAAATGCAGAATTTTGTCCAGTAAATAATGGTAGAGCGATTTGGCCAGCTGAAATTTATTAGGTGCTTCTTCCTTGTTTGGAAACTTATTGTAAAATAATTTGGACATGAATACCAACTGGTCCTCAATTTTATTTAAAACCTCTTTGCCGGCAACTTGCCTGAAGGCACGCAAAAATGGAAAACAATAATTAATTATGTATTTTAAGGAATTATCTAAAGTTTAAGATTATAACTTTCAATCCAAAATTCAATATAGAAATTAAATAAGTCACGTCAAGTTAGTCACGTTTGACCTAATCTAAACATTTAACGTAGAAAAGGTTAAAATTTATCCTACTTTATGAAATCTGAAGGTTCTGTTATGCTGGCTATTTCCCGTAATTTTTTGACATTATTCGTAGCATTTGCTACCGGATCGTATATACCATCTCGGCTAGGCAAACTTTCTTTGCGTGTGTACGGTGTATTCGGCATCATTGACTTAATATCAGGCTGTATGTCAATTTTCATTCCAATGGATTCATCTAAAAGGAAGAACAAAAAATTCCAGACATTAAAAATATTTTCAAAATCAAAACATGAATCACTCCGTATCCACGAAAAGTTTATTCAGAACACTATCAATTTTAACTTTTCTCTTTTCTTTCTTTTGCATATTCGCCTAACTAACTTTGAATGTCGGCGACTGATTAGTCAAAAATTAACAACAGTTAACAACCGAAAAATTTACTGCACTTGCGTTTGAATGTTAAGTTTACAAGATGGGGAATGGATCAGTGCAATCACGTATTGGGACTTTAATTATAGTATTTTATCGGGGCATATTCAAGTTATTTTGAACGGAGTAATCTTTTGTCACTGCAAAGTTATTAAAAGACAAGAGTACCGCAAGCAGGTAATTTTTATAAATATATATGGGATAAATTAAAAGCCAAGATCTTACTGAAATGGTTAAATTTATGGTTAGTCATAGTTCAGATAACTAGAGCTACTTTTTGCAGGTTTTGTAAACAGGTATTCTAACTGTTCTTCAAGAATTTCACTTTTTATTAACACACACTCGACAAAAGCTGTTAAAAGTAGGCTATCTAATAGGAAAACGATGTCATAAAAATGTTTGCAATAAAACAAGAATAATAGAGCATCAATGCTTTTAACATAGAAATTTACCTTCGTATTCCAAGAAGAATTTTTCTATACCCTACACAGTATATTAAGGTAGCGCGAACGTAAGTAACACTTAGAAGGGCTTAAAAGAGCTCCGCCTTTTATTATACCGATCGATTTAGAAACATTTCCAAATCGACATAAACCTGTCTGTCCGTCAGAGATAAGAGAGATAGGGAGAGAAAAAAAGCATGAATACAACTAGCACAGAGGCAAACCCAGCAGCCGGCACAGATTCCAGTTGTGAGTGAAACTCTAAGTCGTTGAAAACATCTAAACGCTTGGCATCCGATAAAACTAAATAAATTCAGTTAATTTTCGAGTCCCACTAAGATGTTTTAAAAGTGAATTTAAATACGACATAGGCAAATCGCCCATATGAAGGAGAATTGATTTGATAGAATTTAATCAATCCAATATTGAGGTTAAGTAATAGATATCATTTCGATTTTTGCTAGGGTATTTGATTGAATTGAAAAGCTCCTAATTGTATCTACATTGACTAAACTTTTTGAAGATAAAGTTCCTAGAGAAACAATTCGGCATATTAAAGTTTACCTCACCAAGTAATGTCGTTGAACCGATAGTACCATTTATTAACTTAATCGGAAACGAAACACCATGAATAAATCTACATTGCGTAGGTGACGGAATAGTTAACAAAAGCAATCTATTTTCATAAGGAGGCAACGAAACAAGCAGGTCGCAACCGAAAGTATTTTCTTGAACTAAACAGTTGGATACTCACTAGCAACTAAGACGATCAGCTCTTATCCTTTTGTTTTTACTAGATGGTTAATCTAGTCGCTTTAATAAAGTCAAATATTTGATTGAGTTTTTCAAGTACTTCAAAAATGTTCATAGGGTTAAGAACTTCACAAAATATATGTTTAATCGTAAGATGTTGCCCACATTTGCAAATTGGAGGAGTAAATTTTTAGAGATCCATTCGCATATTGTACAACTAATAGTGGACTGAATGAAGGTTTATTACAAAATGAGAGGCTACTTTACTTTGTATCTAGAACATTGATTGAAATTGAAACTAGGTACGCACAGGTAGAAAAAGAAATATTTCCGCTAGTATATTCTGACCATAAACATTTATTAAAAATTACATCAAAAGATTGTAACGTAATGCCGTTTGCGAAACTAAAAAGCATGAAATGAAGTCTAGAAATATATAACGGTAATCGTTTACGTTTTGTCTATGAAATATTTATATTAATTATATAAATATTTAAAGAAGTTGGCATTGTTGGCAAAATTTTAACATACTGGTTAGGACGATGATAAGTGGGAGCTTCAAAATGTGAATTTTAAATATAGTTTACTTTTAAAAGATAAATATATTTCTTTTGAGGATAAAGAAATACAGATACAGAAATTACAAGAAGATAAGTTAAAATATCTTCATTTAACGAATTTCGGTACGGAAAACACAATAAATAGAATAAAGCAATTTTTATCCTGGGTTAATGAAAAAACTGCTATGGACATAATGGAATTTAACTGAAAAAATTATTCTGTTAGTAGTGATCATTTTTGGAAATATCTGAATTTAATTTCGCTTATAGAAAAAACTACGTCGAGATTTAGCGAGAAACTCATAATCCCATTTTTTATTTATCGATTACCTAAGGAAATTGTCGCGGATGAAGTTTTTTTACATCATATGAACTTAAAAGATTAGCTAAAAATTTAGATATTAGTGTAACCACTACGAGACTTCGTTTTTCAAAGGAAAACAGATGTGGAACAAAGATGGATCAGCTGGCTGAAGCTAATTGATTTTGATTTCGCAATGTAATGACAATAAAATCGATGCATCAAAACTTTACAACAATTTTTCAATTTTTCTTGAATCATTAACGATGCATGTGATCCGGCGTTTTCGTGATGACAGACGACGCTTTTTGTATTACTCCATTCTAAACGTTTTAGCTTAATTTCACGTTTTAATCGCAATAGTTGTTGGCAGTAAAAAATGGAATCAATGTTCAAATCGAACCAACTCACGCTGGATGATTCGCTCCCAATCTTTACGAGAACTTTGCGCCGTTTATGCAACTTCATCTTGTCGTAATGGGCAATGCCAGTTATCAGTTTATTCAAAAATGGTTGAAATTCATTGGATATCAACAACGATTCGTAAATGTAAATTCTGTCGATCAAATTTATCAAAGTTGATGCACGTGGTGTTGAAATATCGAGTTTTTTCGTATCCAGGCTTATGCAAATGGTTTAAAACCATTGTTTGGTCCGTGATTAACCCCGCAGCGGTCTCATAACCTAAGATGCGATGGTTTTCTTCAATTTTTAAGGAACATGGTCGACTTTTGAACGATTAGTTCACCGGTGCAAACCGTTTGCGACTGTTGATTTTTAAAACTTTTTTACCATAAACACTATGATTTTTATACAAAACATGTGAAGCATTATCGACTTGGTTGTGGAAGACGTCACGGATTTTTCCTTCACCTATTTCATGCCAGTTTGTTCGAGTGAAGTATTATAAATAGAAGACGTGAAGTATTATAAATTAGAAGACAAATTAGGCTAAGCACAGATATTAGTTTTTTTTTCACACAAAGTTATCAAACTGATACAAGAAACATTAAATTTCCAGCATGTTGATAATAGATATCTATAAATTAAAAAAAATTTACAAAATATAACTTTAGCGAGAAGCTCAAATTTTAGGCAGTAGAATTGTTTAGCTTCCAAACAGCAATAATCAATGAAGTTTTAGACCAGATGAATGTAACTATCATTTTAAACGAAACGAACGATTTTTATTAAAAATCAAATAAAAAACAGCAACAACTTGGCGAATGCACAAACAAACACAAATTTCTGAACTAGTTGCAACACTTGGGCGTTCAGCAAAAAAACAGCGCAAACTAAAAATGCATGGGAGCGATAGAGAATGCGAATGTGGGTATGAACGAAAAGAAACGTAAATCTTTTAAAAGAATATCTAAAAAACTTTGATGATAAACCTGACAATATTAAATATGGCAATCGTCTTGAAACATTATATAGATAAAGAGAGGAATTGAAAAATTAAATCTTCAGCGATGAGTTTGAGAAATATATTTATTTATTCCACTTATACAAGAAACTCAGCTAAAACAAATTGGTAGTCGAGTTCAGTTGAATTTTAAAGTAAATCTTAAATTAATTAATATTAAAACTTAGTATAAGTACATTTAAACAAATAAGAAGGAAAAAAAAAAGAAAAAAAGCATGTACACAACTAGAATAGAGCCACACCCACAACTGGTACAGGACCAAATTGCAAGTGAACCCCTAAGCCATCGCAAACATGCATAAGCTTGGCAACTGATAATAGTTAACAACAATTAATTTTCGATTTATAATGACTTTTTAAGGTTAAAAGTTGGTTCAAGTACGACATAGGTAAATTGCGTATTAAGCAATGTTGCTTTAATGGACTTTAAAGAGTGCGTTAATGAGAATAAGTGACAGACGTCATTTATCTATTCAACAAAACGGAGATATCGAAGAAGAAAACGAAAAATCGGGAGTAATTTACAGGATATATAATTTAAGGAACATGAGAAAAGGTCTAGCTGCTGTGAGATACAGATAAGCAAAATATCTCGCGAGAATTTTACAGTAATAATGGTAATGGCGTTGCTGGCTATAATATGGGAAACGATTTAAGAGCTTCTAATATAACTGATTCAATCGATTCGATACCGAATGAAGATGGTTACGCTGGCCCCATGTTAAACCAGAATAAACGTTGCAGTCCACAATGTTTCGGGTCCTGAGAGAAAACGAATGCTCATGGTACAGAGCCAAAATCACGTCAAGATTTTACTACATTTCTGCCCAGAATATGAAGCGATATTAACATTGCTGATAACTAGAACCATCAGGATTAGCCTTCTAGGCGTTAGACACATCAGCGGAAACTCGATATATCCTGTACAAAAAGTCGCGTAGGGTTCAGGAAGACCAAATTTGACTGCTTTCGACTTATGATAAAGGTTGTAAATACAGTTACTAGGAACATATATAGACTGAGTTTAATTCAAGAGAAAACTAAAATGATGAAAATAAGCAAAGAAAGCAAACGCATTTTATGTCGCTACTCTTGTATATACTTAGTTGTCTAAAGCATTTCTATATCTCTTAAAAGATTACTGAAGTTAACAATTACTGATTGCAAATTTTTTTTGATCGCTATCATCAGATTCCTTTCAAAAATCAATAAAACCGCTATAACGATACCTCAACAATTACCAAAAAACCATAAATAATCTCACAGTGTACATATAAGAATATTACAGTACAGTCGTTTAAAAGGTGTTGCCAAATTGTACGAAAATGTGACTATAAAATTTATCTAAATGTATGTATGTCCACCATAGGATATATGACGTATAACGAGCAAATGTATCCCGTACGTCTATATGTTTAGGTTATTTTCTCCATAAGAGAGAGTATTCGGAAAAGACTAGGATTTTGTTCACTTATTTTCTTCTTTACGTTCCCAATATTATACCCATCATCACGAAAGAGTGCGTTTGATGTTGCGTTAGAAACCAAAAAAACTAGTATCGGGAATGTTTTAATATCTATAAACATAATCAGCTCTACATTCGAAATAGCCTTGCCGACTTCCAATATGCCAGTCTCGCGTCGAATGTGTTAGTTGCCGAAATTGCTAACGTTGAGGTAAACTAGTTACATATATCAATAACTTCTTCAAGTAAAATTTGCATGAAGAATAATATTCAAATTTAAAAAGACTTTAAGCAATGATGCTTGAAGCTCTAACAAAGATATATATATCGATCTGCTGGTATGTTCTTGTATTTAAATTTTCGCAATCTTGGATGTTCCTATACAGAGGCATAGTCAAATCGAAAATAGCATATATACTTTATAAATTCTTTGAAATATATTTTCGGGGTTCGCAAACAAAAAAATAAATTTAATATACGTCCTCCAGTGACGTATATAAAAAGAGAACATTACAATGCTTTAAAATATGTATTAAAACCATTACTTACATGAATTATTTATTTTACGATAATCTAATAATATGCGTTCGTCTAACTCGGCCATGTTGAGAACATATAACTCGTAGGCACCTTTTAGAGATCTGAGATTACGTTCAAAATTCGCATTTGAAACTAAACCCAAAAAGTTTTCATCATTACCGTACAATGTCTGTAAGTAAATGAATCAAATAAAAGCATTCGTTATATAACGGAAGAATAATTTAACACACATTGGCATCAAGGAACATTTTTACAATTCTTTTGAACGTCTCTTTCATATTTTTTGCGTCGGCCGGAGATGCATCTGTCATGCTACATAAATGCTCAATTATGCAGTAATTGCTAAGGATGTTAGCATTGAAATCGGATTTACCCCACTTATCCGGCACACCCATGAACTTTGGATTAATAATATCTATACGATTTTCGACCAGAACGTTTCTATATATTAAGTCGATGCAGCAAATTAGCAAATGAAAAGACATTACAATATCGGTCACTTGGCGAACCGGATTTTGATTTTTAGTGCATAAATATAGACACCAACATATTTCAAACAGTTTACTGTATGGACATTTGGCAGACCTGAAATAAAATAATTAAGTTTGTTTTTCACCCTGTTAATTATAGAATTTACCTAAATTTATAGTTTTTCTTTTCATTTGGTGGTACCATAAAAAGTTGTTCGAATATGTCTCCGTAACGCTTAAAAACATTTGATGTGATGCTATAACTACGCTCCATTTTGTTAATTTGGTTTAGGAATGATTCTGGTAGTTTAGCCATTTCATGCCATTTTCGCATTTTAGATGTAAATTCATATATACTATTAAACATTTGATATTTTAAAAATTATGGCTGCTGGGGAAGTTAACAGTGAAAAGATTTACCTCATGTTGCAACTTCTTAGAAGTTTAATAACTGAAATACAATTGCCCAAGACAACATCATTAGTACCACCTACGGTGGGAGTATACGAACCTCGACAAGCTGCGTACAAGGCACAGCAAAACCAGTGCAAAGGATCACCCTAAATAAATACCAATAAAATTCGAACTTTATTTAGTAAATAAGCTTAACACACTTTCCATACATCTAAAGAGAAGTTTTGTGATATCTCAGTGTATTTATTCCACGATAATTCCTCTGTTTCTCTATCCATATTAAGTTCTCTGCAAAGATCTTCGTATTTGCTTCGTACTCCATCACAAACTTCTTCCCTTGATTGGGTCATCTTGGTAATTAAGTTAAATATGGAATCTGTTATTTTTTTGAAAGTTATTAGTTTGAAAGTTTTTGCTATTATAAAGTATAACAATTTCAAAAATTTATTAAACAGCTTAATTTACTTGTAAAGAAATAAAACACATATATGTAAATATATTCCACCACCCAAAAGAAAACAAATGTCACAAAAAAGGCGCGAAACGTCAAAATGGAATGACTAAAATCAACTTTTTGTTAAGGTAGGGCTACCGCATTTATTTGTAATTTAAAAATTGAATAGGAAATACGACAATGAATATCAGGAATGTTTTGAGAAGCGCTATCACAGTTAAAAGTATCGGCGTAAAGATATACACTTGTCTCAAAATATTTTGCGTCAAAGTGTAAGGAAATGTTTACATACATATGGATCTACGTATATACATATATGCACTGAGCTTGTACGGTAGGTTATTGCCTGAATTTGTATTTGCCTTTAAGACAAAGACACAACGTTCAAATTGTTTTAAGCGCAAAACCAAACTTTTGCAACACATGAAGTCTCCATTATCAAGCTCCAATATTCAAAGTAATTACCCACTTTGAGAAATAAATAATAACATTAAACAACGACAATTTTGAGCAGGAAAAACGATTTATTTCCAATTTAGAAGTTATTAATTACTTCAAACCTGAACCAAATTTCTGCCATCTGCACTCCCAATGGAACTTTAACTGACGCAGATGAGATTTTTAATTACTTTGGAAAAGTGTGGTGCGAATACTCCTCTGACAGCAACTTCACCAGTGCTTCCATTGAAAATAAAAGGACTCCAATATCTCCTTCAAATAATATCGATAGATGTGCCATGTTCCTGGAAAATTGCGTATCTACCTCAGAACTTGGAAGTTGTCTCTCCAATTTGAAGGGGAAGACACCTGGTCTCGACCGCATCTCATAGCAAATGTTCAGTGCTATGTCTAAGTCTAGTAAAAAGAAATTACTGAACCTATATAATACGGTATTTATGACTGGCCATATACCCTACATGTGGAAACTGGAAACTGACATATTATATTTTATTATAGATTATATATATATAATTATTATTATTATTATTATTATTATTATTATTATTATTTTAATTTTAGACTAATGAATTGAATTCTTAGACTAAAAAAAAGACATTGAGCACTAGCAACACAGGCTATGGGCTCTAATTTAAATAAATGGATATTAGATAATAAGCTTAGTAGTATTAATAAAGTAAAATATTGAATTGATATTCTGTTCTGAAGCTGATTGTAGAATGTTCAAAGGGTTAATCGTTCCAAATGCAATAAATCTAGCCAAGCAAAAGTTGAGGCAGTCGCAGAGAATGTGCTTTATAGTGAGAGTTTGTACACAACTGCAGATTGGGGAGGAAGACTTCTTCGAGATCCATTGATGTGTTGCAATTGTATGACCAAGGCGAATTCTCGAAAATGTTTGGAGCTTGGTTTTCTCAACATTTGTTGGATATAGAGGTGGAGTTAATTGAG